AGAAGTTTATTTAAATATTACAATCCCTCTACAATAATAACCGAAGCCAAGTTCGAGCTTACGGCACTTTTTCACCCGAGTTCACCACGGAAAGTGGTACTCGACAGGGTTGCTCTCTCTCTCTCTCTCCTTTTCTATTTAACTTTATCATACATTTAATTCTTGTAACAGCCCTATCCCCATGCAGGGTTAGTGGCATCGATTTACTCCCAGGTGGCAGACTGTCTGATCTGGAGTATGCAGACGACATTGTGCTACTCAGTGATGATCCAGGTAAGTTGCAAGCTTTTCTGGATGGTTTGAGTGCTAGTGTAGCGATGTTCGGCATGCGTTTTGCACCTTCAATGTGTAAAATACTGCTACAAGACTGGGCTGGCCCAGTTCTCCGCCTCATCCTGACCGGGGAAATTGTATAGAAAGTGGACAGGTTTTGCTATCTGGGCAGCTATATCTCACCTGGCGGATGCATCACAGATGAAGTGTCGACGCGCATACAGAAAGCTCGCTTGGCATTTGCCAACTTGAGACATTTGTGGCGCCGTCGCGACATCCGGTTATCTGTGAAGGGTCGAGTTAGGCTGCAGCCAGTTCTGCTTTACGGCGCAGAGACTTAACCATTACGGGATCAGGATAAAAAGAGACTGTCGGTGTTCGAACACCGCTGTCTACGACGCATTGCACGAATCTGATTAGGGATTTGCGCGCTTTGTCGCATTTTGAATCCGGGGGACTGGCTTTGCGAGCGTCCAGCAGAATCACCGAAGTCGGGGAGATCCATCGGTTTTTATTTGATCATGCGCCAGAATTTGTTGTTGTTTCGATTGACATTTGGCTCGCTTCCTTGATTGCCGTCCGATGCTCACTGAGTCCTCCGGCTGATGGTTGTGCTGAGAGACGATCTGATAGTTCCGCTTTCAAGGCCGATTTGCAACTATTGCTGACATAGTATCTTGGGAATCCGTTTTCGGTGGCTTTTCTGCGTTTGTTCACTCGGCGTAGAGAGATCGTCGTTCGTAGCGAGCATTGTCCGTGTCCACGGTTGTTGACCAGTAGGAGCGGCAGTCTTCAATGGATCCTCTCCAGCGGTGGCTGACGGCAATGTGGTCGATTTGAGTCCAGCACTGTGAGGCGGTTTGCGGTCTCCATGCAAGGCGGTGGCGTTTTTTGTGCGAGAAGTTCGTGCTTGACAGAAACAGTCCGTGGTCAGCACAAAATTGGAATAGGCGTTCTCCGTTGTCAGTCCTGTTGGCTGGGATTGCATGTGAACCTCCAAAAAGCCTCTCTGATTCGTTCAGGGATTCCGCTTGAGCATTGTAGTCGCCAGCGACCACCACGATGTCCGTTGACTGAGCACTTCGGAGCGGTTGAGAGAGTTCCTTGTGGAATTCATCCTTCACTTCTGGCGAACTGCAATCTGTCGGGTCATAGGCGGACTCGACGAATAAGCATCGACGTTTCGTTCTGTAGCTGTTGAAGGGTACTGAACCATCCAGACGTACGGCGCAAAGTCGGCTGTTAACCGGGATCCAATCGAGAAGTGAACACAGCCTTGACACTCAGCGCAATCCCAACACCAGCAACACCGCGATCTTCGGATGTCGATCCGCATGACACACGGAGAGTGAAGCGTGAGGATGAGGTTAGATCTGGAGAACTCAAAGAGATGATTCAAGTAGGGTCCTGTATGCGTGTTTTGGAGACAGCATACATCTAAATGGAAGGTTTCAAGAGTTCTAGCCATGGCGGTTTGTTGACCAATCTGATAGTGTGCGCGGACATTAAATACGGCTAAGCGAAAGGAGATTGTGGTTTCAAAAATCTGATAGCGTCTGATTGGTTGGCCTCATTAGTTTAACACTGAGTGGTATCCGATGGGTGGCGCATCTCCTGAGGTATGTGAGTGAGAAGAGGAAATAGACAGTTGAGAAAGGCGGTTCTCCAAATGGGTACCTGAGACTTTTGGGCACAGCGTACTTTGCGGTTGCCCATACTTACGAAAGGGTTTTTTTTGGGAAACCTAATCGGAGCCTTCGACTCAGAAGTCTGATCCACAAAACAGTTGGGGCGTAAATCCAACGCGGGAGTGTGAACGAAGCACCCGTGTGGAAGCTTCTAGAGACCTGTCACAAAAGGCCTGTGGATTTCGGTTAAGTTTGTTGTTCGCTGGTGCGTTGATTATCGGTCCGCTGTTCGGGATCGGCCCTTAGCCTTATGCACCCAACGAGACAAGCGGAACGTGGACGGGACAGCATCTTATTGGCTGGGCGGGGGGTGCCCAGCT